GGACATTAACATATTCGTCGTGCGCAGCGACCAGACACAGTTAAGACGACAAATATATCCTTCGATTGTATGGTTTACCGGAGATCCATAGGGACGGCGTGCAAGTTTGTCCGAGTTTGGACATGCGAAATTCTTCGTACCGTGCGTTTAGCAGAGAAACTTATGGCTCTACATCGTGAACTAGCACAACGGAGCTGTCGCGATGTTTTAGAATTCATTGATAATGTCAAAAGCCTTAACCTTAACGGTATGTTAGTGTTCTCGCTAGACGTATCATCAGTCTCCCAAAAGGCTCCTATCGCCGAAACAGCGGAACTCCGACGAGTATATTCAAAAAAGTACTATTAAGAGGCACATTAAATGCAAAGGTGCTTTTTGACATTTTGAAATTAAGCCGCCAATTTTTCTTGCCTCCATTCGAATTACGATCATTAGAAGCCGATTTTTTTTACCCCTTATTGTTTATTTGAACTAAAACAACGAGACAGCACGACGCTAACGCCAATTCGAAGGAGGCCCAATTTGGCCTACATTTTGCGACATGCCCAAGGGAATTTTTGCAGAACTACGACAAATACTCAAGGGCATTTCTCCACGATTTCGACAATTGTAGTCTCTGGCCATTACGAATTGCCTCTGATTTCCGGTATTGTGTGGTTTCTGTGCCTTATTCTATCCATGGTGAATGGAGGACGGTTTTGCAGAAAATTTGGAATGATATTTGTTATTTCCAGCAGCACAAGTTTGAAATTCGCCACGTCCATTTCCATTGACTCCCCGCTAGACCTACTACGATTGCTTCCCTCTTACGAAAGACTGTTCCCTCGTCCTCTGAACTGCGTGCCCGGATTCCCTTTCGCCAAGAATTCGGCTCCTGTTGACCTTTTTGTTTCCAGTCGAATGCACAATAGCGCTAGAACTAGTCCCCCGGCCAAGCGGTACTTGAATACTGTCCCCACCACCCGTTCGGCTCCCTTGCCTTTTAATAACCTACTCCCACAATACACTCATCCCCTCCCCCACTGCATCAAGCGATAACTGTTTCAAGAGTTACTCGATATTGCCTCCCTCTCCCCTTCTGGTTCGATTACAACTGTCACCTGGTTTGGAAAATATGCGAACATCGGTAGTTTCGTACCACTCCAACAGAAACACAATCTCGTCGGTGTTTTGCGCAAGCGGCTAGCAAAACTTGTTCGGCAGACGGTATAGAAGAGGAGGAGTTTAGAAATATCCAGGACCTGAGTCGCGCGAACAGGTATCTTGACAGGGTTACTGCCGAACGACCCTAAAGGCTCACCACACGGACAGCCGAACAGAAAACTCTGTTCCTTAAAAGGTCCCTTCAAGGGGACGCTGTGAGCGAACTCCCAAGAAGACGAACCTTCCCAGCAGTAAGCGTGCTGGTAGCATTCTCTATCAACCCTATTTTTACACGGAAAGAGTAAGGGTAGGTTACTCTCAGACCCCCTCTTTGTGCATCTTCTCCTTCAGTTGCTCCTGTGAAGCACGCTATATTGGTCGCACGAGTTGGTTTCTAGTCGAAAGACTATGAGAACACATTCTGGCGTGGCTGGGAAAAGGAGAAATTAGGAACATAAATGGCGTCATTTTCGCGCATTTTGTTGATTCTGGGCCGCGTGTGGACCCACACAAAACTTGTCGTGTGATTTATATAGTCACACCGAATTACCCTG